AAGTGGCTATTAAAAAGAGTAGAGCAATTGGCATTGCGAGTTAGCCAAATCAAAGTCAACATCCGAGTTCGACATGATGAATAAACAAGTTCGGACAAGGAACAACAATGCTAAGAGTAAATTTGATCGGTTAAAGAAACAAATCTAGGTGTAAATGACAATGTTGTGGTCGAATTTCAAGTGAATAATGCTTAGCTTGGCCATCTCTACGCCACCTTTACGACGTATTTTCTACCACTACTCCATTCTAAAAGTGATCATCCAAATTGGCTTTCTTATCCCTATCTTTATCTTTTCATGCTCGTTTTTAATTTGATGATCTATATATACATTGAGGATAATGTTTAGTTCAAGTGTAGGGGTGCGTTTAGCATTTAGGTTTATATATATATATATATATAATTTTTGTATTTATTTTGTACCCCTATATAAAAAAAATTTAAACAAATACCATGGTTTAGTATGATGTTCTTCTTGATTGATGTTTCATATTGAATTTAGTAAAATTTGATGATGAATGAAAATGTTTAGGATATTATTGTTATAGAAGTGCATGCATGCTAGAAAGCTTTATGTGTCTTTATGATGGAACAAAATTTAGGTAGTAATACTAACTTTGAAAGAAAAGAAAACCCTTTGGAAGCTAGACCTAAGCATGGTTTAAATAAATGAGATTTTCTAAGTTTTATCGCAATTTGAAAAGCATTCCTTAGAAAGATTTGGCCTAAGTAATTAAAAATTCTACTCCAATGATTTGAGATTTTTAGTAACTAGGAATATTCATTATAAATATTTACTTTTATGTCACATCAATTCAAATTATGAGTATACAAAGCATTCTAGATTGATGACTTGCTAAGTAACTCGGTTACCTTAATTATAAATGTCAACAATCGCATAAAAAGAAAAATGACCACTTAGGGAAAAACTATTATGGCCTTGAAACAAAAAAGAATTTGGGATGCTTAAAATGGAAAATTTTGGATTAAAGAAAATCTCTATTTATTACCTTACTTGTAGTGGTAGATAAGGGATAAAGATAAAGTTAGTGTTGCATGCTTGAATTATGTTTTATTATGAAGATGCATAAATCAATTTAGAGACATGTATTGATATGATAATAATATCTTGAACATTATCGATTTGACTATTGAATTTTGTTAAATTCTAAATTGAGCATCAATGTTAAAGAACAATCATACTGGCATGACATTTGTTTAAATGATTTTATGGGTTTATCATTTGAAAACCATCACGAGACACAACTCATCCACTAAGGGTAACCTAAGGGTTTAAAGACTTATTACATGTGCTAAATGTAATCATGATTCCTATGAAAGTGAGTTAGGTTTTATTTTATTTATTTGGCTCGAGGATTAGCAAAGTTTAAGTGTGGAGGTATTTAATGAGTTCATAATTAGCATGATTTTTATATTCTATTATATTGAACTTTCTAGAACTTATTGTATTATATTATGTTGGTTAAGAATAAGATGATTGTTTTGAATTTTGTAGAAAAAACGATGAATCGGAGTAAGAAAACCCAAGACAAAAAGAGAGAAACTTCATTAAGGCTTAGAAGAGTCACACGATCATGTGAAATAACAAAAGAAACAACTACTAGTCATATGACTTAAAGGAAGAAACCATGTGGATTCTCAAGCAACACAAGTCACATGGGCAAAAGCATTCCACATAGCTAGAAGAAGAAATCCCATACAACCGTATGGGTGTCCCGACCAACAAAACCTAAAAAAAGAACAAGACCATATGAGTAGTAGACATTATACACAATTTAAAGTGTAAAGTCACACACTTATGTCTCCAAGGTAAAGCGAGGCCTACAAAAGTGAAAGAGATTCAACACGGCTTGAAGAAGAAATCTACACGGGCGAAACTTAGCAACACGGAATAAAGAACAAAGACACACAACCATGTGCCCTAGTTAGCAAACCATGTAATCCTTATTTCTTAAGGCTCCAAACCATGTGATATCAAATAACAAATCATGTAACTTTATGTATTAAACCATGTGGCCATGTGGGACTAACACATACATGATATAACCTTAGTTTTAGGTATAAATATCAAAACTAGGATATTATTTGAGGATCTCTACCTTTTAGTAGCCACCATTCATAGAGACTCTCTCTTTGTAAATCATTATGAGCAACTAAACTCTATTCTTGATTGAATCAAGTTAAAGTTTTTGGTTAATTGCTATAAGATTATAATTTTATTTGTAAACTTATCTTATTTGGATATTTTATGTTTTTCTCGCATGATTAGTTCATAGTTATATGATTAAATTAATTAGAGTACTCGCTAGTTGTTTAGTCATATTAACATATTACTAGCCAAGTATTCAAGTTCGTGTAATTACTTGTCTAAACTTGCATGTGGTAGTAACTAGGAGTTGATGATTATTTTTTACGTTTTCATTCAATTCCTTAGAAAATATAGAACTAGGTTACATCTTCTTTAGCACTTAGGAAGGTGGCTTAGTTTCACTTGTCTTTCTCTATCTAATGTTGTTATTGGATTATTAAATCTATCTAGTGTTTAGTAGATTGTTCAATAATTATAGAATTAATTGGGTATCGTATATTCGGTTAACGACTAAGTAAAAAAAGACTAGGGTCAACATATATGTTGTTATTTTATGGTAAATATTCATGATTAGGATAAGTTAATTATTTAATCAATGATCAACGACCAAAATAAAAGTGGATACTAAAGTTTAACTAAGGCCTCTTTAATGTTGTTATTCTTTATTACTTTTAATTGTTTCCAAGAATTCCAATCACACAAAACCCCTTTTACACTACAAGAACATTCAAAACAAAAGAAACGATCCATTTAGCCTCTTTCTATGTGGGCTTGACCCTTACTTGCCCTAACTACGGTCTTATGATTGAGTTTAGTGACGAAGATATAAATTACTAATTTATTGACGGTACGACATATCCATCAAAGTACATTGATGGTATTTGTGAGATTAAATTTATTGATACCGATTATTTTTCATTTATGCTATTGAAACAAGTGGTTAAAAGTTATAGATAGGTTGATTCTAAAAAGATACATTGTAGGATTTTGAGAAATGATGATACATTAAAAATTCAGTTGATATGTGTATATTATGAAAGTTTTTGTTTTCCATATTTGGATGATTTTCTTAAGCAAGAGAATATGTAATTTTTTATGGAGGGTGTGAATAAGTTGGCGAAAGATGGAAACGCATTGATCAACCTTGATGATGGTGCTCAAAGTGTGGTCCAAGAACAAAATGTGAGGAGAAATATGGATGATGATGGTATAACTAATGAAGGCAAGTGATGGTTTTGAGCTTGTTGATGTTATAATTTCTTATGAAACCGAGAGTATTCATACAACTAATGGGGAATGACAATTTAATAATGTATATGGTCAGTAGTGAGAGCATGGACTTCATGAAACCTAACACAATATAAGAGATGCTTTTAAAAGCATTGAGCTAAGACTTGTGTCAGATGACATTAAAAGGGATATGTGTGTATTATGAAAGTTTTTGTTTTTTATATTTGGATGATTTCCTTAAGAAATAGAATATTTAATTTTTTATGGAGGGTGTGAACAAGTTTGTGAAAAATGGAAATACATTGATTGACCTTGATAATGGTGCTCAAAGTGTGGTCCAAGAACAAAATGTGAGGAGAAATATGGATGATGATGGTAGAATTAATGACGATGGTGATAGTTTTAAGCTTATTGATGTTGTAATTTCTTGTGAAACCGAGAGTATTCATGCGACTAGTGGGGAAAAGACAATTTAATAATATACATGGTTGTAGTGGAGAACATGGACATCATGAAACCCAATACAATGTAAGAGATGCTTTTAAAAGCATTGAGCTAGAACTTGTGTTAGATGACATTAGAAGGGATAAAGGGTGATAGTGCAGAGGCAACGAGTAAAAGGTCGAACTTGTGTCATTTTTATTGTTAAGTTTTTTTTTTTTTTTTAGAAAAAAATAATAGCAAAATGTTTAAACGATGGCGTTTAAACATTCCACTTAATAATCAATTAAGTTAATAATTGTAAATAATGGAAAAAAAATGATAAATTTATCCAAAAAAATGCTAGTTTATGATTCAAATTACGTAAATTGATAATAAAATGTTAGAATTACCAAATTGCAATAGATTAAAGGTAATTTTCATAAAATCAGAATATTAATAATAACATAAATCTACCATCGTAAGAGAAAAAAGAAATCCCAAACTCATACAACTTCAAAATGTTAACGGAAAAAATAAATTTCACACACTAAAATGGATGTTATAAAAGATTAAAAAAAACATAGTTTCATAAACCATTCTCATATTATTTTACTTAAATTAATTAATTGTGCAAACGTCAAATTTGAGCCATGCAGTGTAGATATAAATTATTTGATAAAGAAAATGGAAGAAGCAAATTACAAAGCATGGTTATTATTATTATTTTGCTGAATTACAAAACATAGTTGAATATTGTCAAAATTCACCGATCAAAGTTGCGTTATTACTTTATTTAAAAAAATATTTTATTTTTTATTAATATTCTATAATATCTATTTTGAAATAAAAATAAAATAAAATAAAATAAATTGTTTTTAAAACATAAAGAATTAAGCAATTCGTTTCTTTTATTTTTTTATTTTATTTATTTTTTCTAAAATAAAAAATAAAATAAATTATTAGTTTTTGAAACATAAAAAAAAAAAAAACTCTTTTCTTAAAATTAAAAGAACTAATTTATAATTTATTTGGAAAAAAAAAAAGGAGAAAAGAAAAATAAATTAATTAAATAAATAAGAGAGAGAAAGGAAGCATCTAGTATGCTTGTCTCTGCAGGTAACCGACTTGCGTAGGAGGAGAGGAGTCGCAGTAAATAGTAATGCATATATATCCAGAAGGGAAGAGAAGAGAAAATAGATTGTGATATTATTGAGTTTGTTAGATAAAATCGAAGGGAAATGGAGAGAAGAGGAAGCTTAACACGGGGAATGTTGCCGCTTCTGGCAATTCACGCGGTTAATGAGTACTATAGGCTGCCATGGAAACCTCCAGTCACGGCTGCTCTTCTCGGTGCCAATACTCTCATCTATTTGAGGCCTGCTTTCCTCCATCATTTTATTCCCTCTGTTGATCATGTCTGGTTTAATCCCCACCTCATTCTGAAGGTATCTGGAATAATATCAAATTATTGTAGCAGATCATACATGCTTTAATTGGCATTATCATTTATTAATTACTATTATTTGTGGAAAATTAATCTATTACCCGAGTTAACTGCTTTGGATCAATTGATGATAGACTGAGTTAACCAATTATTGCTTTGCTAATAATTTGATTGATTGATTGGGTTAGTTTCTTTGGCTGTTGTTGTTGTTGTTTAATTTTACTTCTCTATTTAATTACTTCTAGATTTCCATATCTTATTGTTTGTTTCTGCGATTAATTATCTATATGAAACGCTGCTATGCAGATCTGTTATTTCTTGGCTGTAAATAATTATTTGACTTTATTTTTTTGAGCAGCATAGAGATCTGAAACGCTTCCTCCTCTCACCATTCTATCATGCGAGTGACTCTCATCTCGTCTACAACATGATGTCTCTCTTATGGAAGGGAATTCAATTGGAAACTTCTATGGGAAGTGCTGAATTTGCATCTATGACCGCTGCTTTACTTGCTATGTCACAGGGTATCACGTTGTTGCTAGCCAAGTCCCTCCTCTTCTTCTTTCATTATGAAAGACCTTTTTACTCTGAATATTCTGTTGGATTTTCTGGTGTTCTCTTTGCCATGAAAGTTGTCCTCAATTCTCAGTCTGACAACCTCTCTAATGTCTATGGATTGGTCGTACCGGCACGCCATGCTGCATGGGCAGAGTTGATTCTTATCCAAATGTTTGTACCAGGCGTCTCATTTCTTGGCCACCTCGGTGGAATACTTGCTGGAATTCTCTACCTCAAGTTGAAGAGAGCGTATTCAGGACCAGATCCACTGACTTTAACCATCAGAACCCTTACCAATGTAATAAACAGGCCTCTGAGGTTTGTGAGGGATTTATTTCAATTCCGGCAAGGACGGATTTCTGGCCGTGGAACTGTTGGTGGGAGGCAGATGGGAAGGACCATGTCAGGGGTGTGGAGATGCCAAGCGTGTACTTATGATAATCCTGGTCTTTTAAGTATATGTGAGATGTGTGGGACAAGTCGGGGTGCTCGTGGATTGTTTTCCCGTGAATTTTCAAACCATTCCAATGGCCCTACATTGGAAGAAATACGTCTCCGAAGGCTAGAAAGATTTGGTTGATCAGACTCTCACTCGTTTAATATGCCTCCATATGTTTTTTGTTGATTCTCTAGCTATAAGTTAGAGTGGATAAAAGACTAGTTCTCAAGTTTGGCAGACCTGTCCTCCCATCTTTCATAGTCAAGCTTTTCAAGTGGAGGTGTTTAGTTATGTGCTACTCATATGATTGATTGCTTCCGTTGTTTTCTCTGGAACTGATGATTTCTCAACAACAATATTGTCAGATTTTGATACATCTGCAATTGCGTTCGAGTAGCACCTTCCCAATGAGTTAGATCAACTGCTTTTTGCCAGTGGCAAGTCCCCGAGTTTTGGTTGGTGTATTCACTGTTACGAAGACTATATCAGCCTCTGCTACTTGCTTTTTCACATCTTTGCAAAAGAAGGGTTTCTTTCCCCTGCATTGTTGTACCACATCCTCAAGGCCTGGCTCATAAACGGGGAGATGGTAAAAAAGGGAGTGTTGTCCTTGTCTCTTTGGGTTCAGCTAATAGGGAAGCAGAGAATTTTCCAATCACAACAAATATTTTGTAGCTGATGCTTATTTTGGGTGTCAAAATGTCCCAACAGTAGTTAAGCCCTTCATCTTAAACTATATACTGAACCTTTTATTTGTCAGCAAATCAAATAATGTCAGCAAGGCTTCTTGATTGAAAATTGGGCGCGCTGCTCTCGTCTTTTTAATTGCTAGATTACTTTGCTGAAGTAAAATAAAAAATTAATTCAATTTATGTGATGCATTTTAGTTTTTAATATGTATAATCACTTATTGTACTAAACCAAACCGAGGAGCCTGCTTACATTTATGTGAAACTCACGTATAAAGACGAGAGATACAAACATTTTTGTTGCTAGACAACTTCAAGAACGCATCCAATCAGAGTTATAATAAATGGAATCCGACCTGTTGCCTATAAAGAGGCAAGAACCAAAGCTATGTTGCAATAGAATGAATAACATCATATCCTATGGAAGATGATAAGTTCGGAGATACCACAAGGGTCACAATCCTTGATAAATCAGATTTAGTTCTCAAAAGAAAAAAGAAAAATCCTCTCAAATTTATAAACACTCAAAATTATTCCGTTCCCCTAAAACAAAACTAAACCAGCCTTTCAATAGGCTAAATACGTGACTCCTAACCATAAAAGGACTCTACATGTCCTTGCCACCTAAGGAGAACATAAACAAACCCTAATGTATTTAAAAGAATACAAAAATAATAAGGGTTAAAACATTAAATCCAAATCATTAAATTAGTTCTAATTATAATTAAGCTAGATAAAACAAAATAGGCTCAATATGATTTAAGGAGTCCAATTTTGGACTTGGATCGATTGACAAGTCTTGGATTCTCCCCATCTCTTCGGATGATGCCATAATGCTCTATTGGCTCCTTGGAAGTGCATTCCCCAACACTTTTGAATCAATCCATGGAGAGCTTGTTTAAACTTCTTAGCCCTAGCCCGCATCACTCGGACCATCTTTAATATGTAATAGATCAAATCTTAGACTTACAAACTCCCCATCTTGGACCTCTCTTGGAGATGCCACCTTGTCGATCCATTTGACTCCTTGGTTTCCATCTATATAGCCTTTACTTTTTTTATTCTCATCATTCCCACTCTCTTCAAAAAGATTCATCCTCGAATCTTTGTCTTGATGCTCATCATACTCCCTTAGTTAGAGAGTACTCGTCCTCGACTCTTGTAATAAAAAAGTATCAAAAGCATATGCATGTACCCAACATGTAAAATAAAAACAAATAATGGCAAAAAAAAATTCAGGTTTGATTTTATTATCATTGGCCTCCTCCGGAAGGACAAATTAAATATATAGTATAGTCTCTTGAACATCCATAATCTTCTCATTGTCTTCCTCCTTTTATGCGACCACAAGATTATCAAACTCGTCTTCTTTTGGCTCTTCTGTTGTTTTGCTAAGTCTTCAATGAGCATAAACTCTTCTCGTTTAATACTTTTCAACTTTTACCTTAAACACTAGTTCTCTTAAATTAAAATTGAATTTTGATGCCTCGGTCTTGAGCTTGTAATCACCTTTGGTTAAATCTTTATTGGAAACAACATAATCATCATTATGATTGAAAATTTTAGTGCTCTTAACACCCACAAAATCAACAACAAGATAGTCATCATTATGATCGAAAGTTTGAGTGCTCTCAACTTTTTTCTCTCAATTTCTTTTTTCAAGCTTATTTGGTCCTCATGAATTTGCTTAGGCGATAATGGAACAAGTGTTACATTTTGTCCTCTCGATTTCAAATAAATATATGTTGCTAAACTCATCATATGTTATTTTTCTAACAACATGCCAAGGTTTTCCTAGCAAAATATGACCTCGCTCTCTTTGGCATAACATTACACAAAACCTCATCCTTTTATCTCCTAATAGAAAAAAAAAAACAATATCACTTGTTTGTTTACCTCGACTTCTCCACACTCATTTACCCATTGTAATGTATATCGCCTAGGATGTTCAACTATAGGTAAGCTCAACTTTTCAACTAACTCAAGAGTAGCAACATTGACACAACAACCTCCATCCGTTATCAAACAACGGATCTTATTATTAACATGATAATGAGTATGAAAAATAGTATCTCTTTATGCCTACTCCTCACTTTTCACTTACGTGCTTAAAGCACGCATAATTAACAATGATTCATGACAAACATCATCATCAATAATCACTTCACCCTCTTTCTTAGAATTTTTATCTTTCAATATGTTTTGAAACCCGCACAAAATTCATTAGTAATAAAAATGTCTCACAAACACTCTCTCACGTGTTTTGCTCAAATTGATGACACTTAACACTTATGTTTGCTCTCTTTTAGGCTTTTTCTTTAATACGCTCATACTCTCTATCCTTTTACCAATCTAACTCACTCCTTTGTTCCTTTCAAAAATTAATTGAAATCTAATCCAAACCACACAAGAACTAACTAATTGCAAGTGATAAATAAGTGCTTAATAACTTCATTTTCCAAGAAACAGATTTCGGACGATTTGGAACAACGAATTGATAAACCAATTCACACATGAATTTTAAGTTTTTAGACAATAAGGATGATACTAGAAATGACTTGAATTGAATTTAACAAAGAAGACACAAGTTGATTGTTTTGGAAAGAAACTAATCATAATCATTCAAGCACACAATTTGACATTTAGCTACCGACTTGAAACACACAAGACAAAATTTTAAAGCTACTAATTTGAAACACACAAATTGAATTTTAGAACTACTAATTTGAACAAATTTAATAATGATAACAAGTTGAATACAAATAATTTAGCACACACAATGATGATTTTAGCTACCGATTTAGGCAACTAAACCCTTTTTTTAACTACCGATTTTAGATCAAATGATACAGATTTGAGTAGCCTTTTCTTTATTATTATTTTTTTAAATGGTAGAATATAATAACAACTTTTTTTTTATATAGCCTTAGGACATTTTCTTACATATTTGAAATAAGAAAAAAAATTTTAGACTTGAATGACAAGACAAACTTGGATTAAACAAGACAATAATGAATAAGACATTACGGGACAAAACAAATCGGACTTCTTTTTTGTTTTTCTTTTTGAATTGGAACCGACTCAATTTGGAAACAAAACTACAAAGACACGAAATAAAAGACACAAGGACTATGGATAACTAACTCGACTTTACACAACCTAGGCTTTCATACTAACCGATGTGAACCTCCTATATAAAGAGGAGATATCCAAACATCTTTGTCACTAGACAACTCCAAGAATGCATCCAATCAGATTATAATAAGTGAAACCCGACCCGTTGTATATAAAGAGATAAGAATCGAAGCTATGTTGTAATGGAGTAAAGAACATCACATCCTATAGAGGATGATAAGTTCATAGATGCGAGCAAGGATTGTAATACTTGATAAGTCAAATTTAGTTCTTAAAAGAACAAAGAAAGAAAATCTTTTCAAATTTATTAACTCTCAAAATCATTCGTTTCCTTGAAATAAAAACCAAATCAGCCTTTAAATAGGCTAAACATGCCACTCCTAACCCTAAAAGGACTCTACATGTCCTTGCCACCTAAGGAGAACATAAACAAATCCTAATAGACTTTAAAAAATATGAAAATAATAGGGCTTAAAACATTAAGCTCAAATCGACTTAATTAATTAGTTATAATTATAATTAAGCTAGATATAACAAAATAGGCTCAATATGATTTAAAAAGTCCAATCTTGAATTTGGATCAAATTGATAAGTCTTGGATTTCCCTCATCTCTTAGGATGCCGGAAAGCTTTCTTAGCCTTTTGGAAGTGCATTCGCCCAAGCACTCTTGAATCGACCCATAGAGAGCTTCTTTAAGCTTCTTAGCCCTAGCTTGCATCATTGGACCATCTTTAATATGTAATGGATCAAATCTTATACATACAAACTCGCCATCTTGGACCTCTATTGGAGACGCCACCTTGTTGGTCTATTTGGCTCCTTGGTTTCCATCAATATAGCCTTGACTTTCTTTATTCTCATCATACATAAACTATTACGAGTGAAAAATTACTATTTTTGATAATTACTTGAATTTTTTACCCTATTAAATTATTTTACTTAAAATGCAACACACACACACACACACACCTAGCTAAACACACACACCTAGCTAAATTTATGATAATATGAAAAAAGTTACGAGAATTATCGATTCTCTAAGATTTACAAAAATTTATTACGAATTGGTTTAGATGATTTGAGGTTTATTGAATATTTCTTGATGTAGGAGCATCTACTCTCTCACTTAGTCGAAAATTTGGCATTCATAATGGCCGAAACTTTTGGTTCTTTATCATTTTATTTTATTATCTTTTATTTATCTTAATTGTATTTTAATTAGTTATGTTACTTTTTAATTATATGAATTTGGACTAATTAATTAGTCCTTTTAAGTTTAGATTTACTATGTGACCTAGGTGGATTAATTGATCCTTGCTTGTTATAGATCCTTATTTTTTAGAGATTATTTATTTATTTTGAGTCCATTTAATATGTGGATCCACCTTTAATTAGAATAAATTAATACACTTCTAATTGAAGATGGATGACATAAGTATAAGTCAAATTATGAAAAGAGTCCTAGTTAGAAAGAGAGGTAGAATCAACCAAAGGGAGGAACATTTACCACTAGATGACTTTAAGATCTTTTTGTGTAAGTATTTAAGCACACTTTGTACTATTTTTTTATATATAAAAATTTGAAGGATATTTGAATAAAAATTGAGAGATTTCTATGTAAATTCTTATGTATCTCTTTTTCTTCAATTGACTAGACATCATGAACACATCTTTAGGATGATAAACTAAGATGAGTTTTGATCAACAATTACACTAGGTGGATTGTTGATGAAAATGTTTCACAAATACTCTCTAAATCAACTTGAGTAAGTTTTTATTTTAAAGGGTGAGACATTGAGGCTTGCCTTTATCTTTATGTTTACTTGATAAATGGCGGGCGGATTAGGGTTTCAAAACTTAACAAATTCGATCTTAAAGCTGATAACCAAGTCTAGGTATTTTAGTTTGATCTAAAATTTTGATGGTCTTTAGTTAAGGATTTGATTTAGGTCTTTTTAAAAAAATCAAAAAATTATAAAAGTATTTGAGTGTGTTTTTAGGCCGTGGAAGTTGATGCAAATTCTAGAACTTATTATGTCCGAATTTTGACTTGATAGAAAATAGGGTAGTAAGGTTAATTTAACTTGAAATTTATCATACATATACTTCTAGATATATTATAGGTTGTGGTATTCATGTTATTTTGAGTTGATGTAGATAGCGGACACATATACCTTATTTACTAATAACATCTATGATTGTTTGGTGTTGTGGGTTCCGATTGGGTTATGTGTTTGGGAATTGATTTGATTGTGATTTGTTTTATGTTTAAGTGTGAATTGAGATTTGTTTTGAGTATAATCGAGACTCGTTTATAGTTGGGGTAGTTCGAGCATAGAGCTACTTGTTTATTGCTTGTCCGTTTAAGATTTCGTAGAGCTTGACATCTTTCGATCTAGCATTAATTCTCATTGATAAGTACATAATTTGTATAACTTTTATGCTTTTTTACATTAAATTTTCTGATACTTATTGTATTATATTTAGAAAATTAAGATCAAGATAACGATTTTGGGTTTTGTAGGAAAAATGACAAGTCGAAGCAAATAAACTTAAGACAAAGCAATGAGAAGTTAAAGCCATGAAGGAGCTTAAAGAGACATATAGCCATTTAAATTATAATAGAAAATAGCTACTAGTCATGTGAAACAAAGGAGAAAAGCTGTATGGTTGTTCGGTAACAAAACCACATGAGCGAGTCGCATTCCATACAACATAAGCAAGAAAAGTAACACATCGGTGTGTATGTCAAGGTTGAGATATCTTTTAAAAGGAAAGAAACAACATATGGGTAGTAGTAATCTACACGGCATGGACTAAAGAAGTGACATGTCCGTGTGTGTTGAAGTGAGAAGTAATCCAAAGGATGAAGTAACAAAGGCAAATGGCTAGAAGGTAATGGCGCGAGATGAAGAAACAAGTCCACACGAGCAGAAGCTAAGGACACGAGATAAAATAAAAGAAGACATGAGATAGGGTGCAAGTGGCACACAATCGTGTGCCTCTGTCTAGCAAGCCATGCAACATTAGCAAGTTAAGGGTGCAAATCATGTGAAACAAAGTAGCAAGCCATATGTGTTAAACCATCAAGCCATGTGTGAACATTGGGCTATCATGCATGTGTTGTAACCTTACTTGTATTTATAAATAGAGAAGTTAGGGATCATTCTAGGAATTCTTCCATTCATGCAACCATTATAGATAGAAACTCTCTCTTGTAATCAATCACAAGTCATTAAAAACTTTAGGAAAGTTAAAACTTTTGGTAAAATCATTGTTAGATCTTAACGAGCTTTAATTCTAAACTTATTCTTTTTGAGTATTTTATGATTTTATGTGAATATAATTTTGTGATTAACTTATTAGAGTGCATGCTAGTTACTTAATCATTATAATCTATTATGAGCTAAGTATTCAAATCCGTGTAATTACTTATCTAAACTTGCCTATGTTAGCAATTAAGGGGTTAATGATTATAAACACGTTTCATTTAATCCTTTAAGAAAATATAGAACTAGATTAAATTCTTCTAACATCTAGATGGATTGTTTAGCTTCACCTATCTTTCTCTCATTTAATGCTAGTATTGGATTGAATAGAGCTAGCATCACTAAGTTGTTCAATAGTTAAGGATTAATCAAATGATGTCTATTTGGTTAAAGAATCATTAAGGAAAGATTGGGGAAAATATATATGTTGTTATCTTATGGTGAATATTCTTAATAAGAATAAGTTAATATCCGAATCAATAATCAACGATTAAACTAAAAGTGGAAATCACTTTTCAACCAAGGATTCTATCGTTATTGTTATATCTTTATTTACTTTGAATGCCCTTACTATTTTTAACAAACCAAAACCCCCTCTTATTTTTACTTTACTTTAGAAACAATCGGAAGAAAAGGGACGTTGATTGAATCATCTCTCTTTGTGGGATCAACCCTTACTTGCTCTATATACACTCTTATGGTTGGGTTCTATAGGGAATATAGATACAACTAATTTATCTACGAGTACAACACCTCGTCACTTGCTCATATAAATTAATAAGCTAAACAAATCCAAAGGCAATGCTTGAAGTTGTAATTGGTGGAAAGATAAAGAATAGAATATCTTTATGTATCTATCTAATCTAATACTCCTAATTCTTAAATAGTATTATTAAGAAAAAAATAAAAGAAGCTGGGATGATGAACGAGTAATCACTATTCATTTACTATAGCTTTAGACTCATTTGCACTTGTGGATGGAAGACTATTTTTTTATTTATGATTTTTCGGACTTTGGTGGACGATAATATGAAAATTATACAACCTTTTAGATTTTGGTTCTTGATATTTTTGAATGAATATTTTGACCCACATCTTCATTTACTAATACATTTTGGTCCCCGAATATAGAGAGGAGGGAGGAAAGAAGAGAAAGAGAGACAAAAGGAGAGAGACAACGCTAACTAAGTTTATTTTAGCCACTTTGGCTCGTGAAACTTCATTAGATTTTTTGATCTTTGAGAGATGAGTTTGTCCATTATAGTTTTAAGCCATTAAATTATCAAAGGAGGTAGATTGGAGCGAAAAAAGAAAAAAAATTCTGATTTCATTATGTACTTTTTTTTGTTGTAATGTGCATTAAAATAATTTTTAAAGTTTTAAATGTGTTTATTGATTTTATTTTGATCATTTAAAGGTGTTTGGGAAAAAAATTAATGCCGAAATTGAATTTCTTGAGGCACGAAACTTGACTCGTGATTTTTCGACGAAGCTTCCTACGAGCTTGAGTTCGCCGAAGGTTGCAAATTCGCACACACACACACACACACACACAAAAATATGAATCATTAGTTTTGGTAGAAATTAACTATTTATCCGCACACATAATAACAATTATTTATTTTTATTTGTTCATGTTCTAAAATATGTATTTTTAAGTAAAATAATTTAAATAATATTTTGAAAAAACCTTTCAATTATACAAATATAAATTTTTATGCTAATATTATTAATTATTTTGTTAATAAATATATATAAATCAAATAATTTCACTTAATATATAGATTCGAGTTTACATTAATCATCGGATATAAGACTTTTATTCGCACCACACCATATAATCGTTAACCCTACTTAACCGATAAACTTAAGGTGTCATTTGGTTATAAAAAATGAAAGGTTCGGAATGAGAATGCAAGAATCAGATTGGCATTTGTATTGTCATACTTGTATTTGGAATACTAATGAGGAATCGAGAATGCAATTTAAGTTTTTTAATATTTGATTTTTTTATACAAATAAAAATAATGATTAAAAAAATAATTTTATCAAACTATAATAGTTGTAAAAATAATAAAGATGGTGGTGGTGATGGTAGTGATTATGACAACAATGGTTCTAGTGGTGGTGGTGGTGGTAATGGCTATAGTGATAGTGGTAGTGCTTGTGGTTGTGCTGATGCTTGTTGTGATGTTGATGATAGTGCTAGTTGCAGAGATAGTTATGGTTGTGGTGGTAAAAGTAGTTAATAGATAATAAATAAATAAAATATATTATTATTTTGAACAAAAAATTTCATTCTCATTCCTTATTTTTATTTTCACATCTTATATGAGAATGAAATTGTGTGTAAAGTTTCATTCTTATTTTCATTTCATTCGTTTTAATCAAATAGTTAAAAAGTAGAAATAAAACTTACATTTTCATTGTTACAATTCTATTATTGATTAATAACACTCAAATATATTGTTTTTTTTTAAACTATCAAAGACGTATTGTTAAATAATAGAATAATTGACATAAGTTAGATAAAATAAATTATTTAATTAATAATTTTTAAAAAATTTATCCGTAAAAAAAAAAAATTAAATACTTGATTGAAAAGATCTTAAAAATTGATTTATTTATAGCACTATGATGCTTTATTATTATTATTATTATTATTGTCCGCTACAGACGGTGCATGAAGTTGGAAGTGGTGGGAAGGAAAAGAAGAGAATATCTGTATCGCTACTGGCAGTGCTTGTAGGAGATGCGAAGGTCGTAAAACTTGAGGCACGAAATACGTAGATGAGATAAGGAAAGAAAAGAGCGGTCGTAAAAGAAAAAGAAATGTTGGTTGCTCCTACTACACCGGCTCCTCATCCACATCCTCTTGTACGCTTGTGGCCCCAAAGCATCATCTTCGGCTATCACAGCCGTTGTCGCAGCCACAGCCACAGCCACAGCCACAGCCTCTTCGAATTGAAATTGAATAGTAGCAGTGATAGGGTTTTGGCTTTGGTTAGAGCTGGCCCCGACTTTCAAGCCTCTGCTTCTCCCTCTCAGCTTTTTGATGATCATCACACTGCTTCTCCTTCTCCTCCTTCAAATAAGGATGATGCAGGTTCTTTCAATTTCCTTCTAATTTTTTCTCATTTAATTACTACTCTTCTTTCTCATTTATTATTATTTTACTCCTCAATTTTTTCCTTTATCTAATTTTACTGAATCATAACAACCAGAAGTAGTTCACTGCTTCAATCTGGTGTATGCATAAATAAATTTCATTCTGAACTTATAATTCTCCAAGTTTTTTTTTGTTTAATTTTTTGTAATCTTTATGGGCACTGCCACAGGTATTGAAACTAAGGGAATAGCTGCAAGTTTTGGGAAACTAAAAGCACACAAGTTAAAACTTCTCGCCAGAAAGGCAAAGCAACAACTTACCAAACATCAACATTTTCGAGACACACTAGTTGTAACCGAGGAAGCGGAGGCGGAGGCGCAGGCAGAAAGAGAAAAAGAAACCACCAGGAGGGCTTCCAACTTACCCGTCAAGCGTGTTAATAAGACGTCAAGTCATGAAATCAAACCTCCAAAATCCGATTCCAAAATGGCTGGATCACATGTTTTAGTTCCGCGACCTTCTTCGTCTTCCTACTCAAGACGTTCTTCTTCTTCCCACTCAAGAGGTTGGGGTAAAGGAGTCGACTCCAGATCAACACAAGTTTCTGTGGAACGAGGACATGAGAATGACTTCTTCAGTAGAAAATCATTTAGAGACCTGGGATGCACTGACTTTATGATTGAGTCTTTAAAAGGGCAGGTATTCGTGCGCCCTTCACATATTCAGGTACAATAATATCATGCCCTGTTGATCAAGAACCCAGAAAGCATTTTGCCTGTAATATTTTTTTTTCTTCGTACACTTCGAGTAAATGCCTCATCTCTGAAGTATATCTTTCATTCTGACTAAATTGCATTAGTGGTTCTTTTTAAGTGAACCAGTCTTGGAATTTTTTCTGTTTTATTTATATCTCTGTTAGTTCCAGTGGTGATGCATTTAGATCACTTTGTAAAGCGTGTTATGGTGTTTATGTGTTGATCTAGCAGAGAGGCTTTCCTTAATTTGAAAACCTTTTTTTTTTTTTTCCATCTTTAACATGGATTGAATCATATATTTTTTTTAGAAATATTGCAGCGTGCCTTGTGAAAGTGATAATTATGTGAGGTTCAACTTATAGCCATTATACTGTCATGGATAACTGCAGGCCAAGGCTTTTGCACCTGTAATTGACGGGAAGAGCTGTGTTATAGCAGACCAAAGTGGATCAGGGAAGACATTGGCATATCTCATACCTTTAATTCAGCGTCTGAGGCTAGAAGAACTCCAAGGACTAGGTCAATCCTCATCACAAAGTCCTCGAGTACTTATATTGGTGCCAACTGCTGAGTTGGCTTCACAGGTTAGCTACTTTTGTGCTAAAGGCAATGGAAGTCCACCTTCTGTGATCTTGAAACTCTTCCTTTCATAATTTACTCTGACTTTGTGATTGTGTTTGCTCCTTTTTTTTTTCTTTTTCTTTTTTTTTTTAAAGAAATTATGCATATGTGATGGTGAGAAGAAATCAGATCACTTATCAACCATTCTTAGACTGCTAGGATGACAGTTAACCAGCTTATGCATCTGCCAATTCTCCAATTTTGTTCATCACCTTGTTAACTACACCATGAAATATGCCACTCAATTGGACTATATGCAATGGGGTTAGGTTTTTGCTTCTTTTACTTGTAAACTATCCCTGATTACATTCTGTTAGTTTGTGGTAAATTATCTTAAAGCTGACAGAATAAACTTTAGCTTCTGAAACAAGAAGCACGGATAGATAAGAATCTGGATTATAAGCATGTCTTGAATCTATTAGATTTATCTTCACCCAAAGTGAGTGGGATGTAATGCTTCATCCCAACTTTTGGCATATTTATAAGCTCCGACTATAATGTTATAATGTGCCATACTTATAACTGTACTCAGCGGTTGCACAACTTATTTGTTGTATGAATTGAGCTAGTTTAATGTGATAAGAGAGATGCATGATAATTATAGGGGTTAAATTTTGCTCTGGTAGATCACTATTAGTAAGAGATACTAAATTAAGGTTTCATCCAAAGGATTGCCATGGGAGCTTCACTTAAGATCCAAGTTCATTGTTCAGAAAGAAGAATGCCTACATTCATTTGTAAGGACAAGTTGCAATTTACCTTCAGACTCTAAAGAGGATCAAGTCTGTTAGGGTTTTAAAAGAGAGGTTCAAAGACTGGAGCGTTCAATGCATAAAACCACTGTTCTGTTAAAAGTTAAAACTTCTCTCTTTCACCCATCTTTCTCTGTCACACTCACGGAAACTCATTTGAGCATCAAAGGATTTGAGTAGAAGTTCAATTCACCATCTGGGTAAAAGCTGAAGCTATCAATGCAAGGTTTGAATGAATGATAGGATATGGCTGCCTTGGTGCCATGAACTGGTGAGAGGCATTTCCATTAGATTTAGAGTGTAAGAGCCAGGATAAGGATTGAGTTCAGTTCCCTTCGGGGAAGAACAGGCAGCTGTTAGAGTTGCTGTTGGTGGGAATAGGACTAGCTTTCCTTACATAACATATTCAAGTGCCATCCTCCTGGATTTAGCAGTTAAAGGAATAGGAATAGCTCTTGTTCACGACTATGCCACCGTTGAATCTGTTGAGTTTGCTCCTATTGTAGATAACAGCAAGGCAGCTTAAAGGAAAGCAGTTGTAAGAGAAAAAACCCCTACCCAGCATTAGACTTTATTACCAGGCAATTCAAGTAGTCATTTATTTGGTACCACCCAAGGAGCAGGAACTACTGTTCTAGCCCGTCTTCACAATGGATCCTGGAATGTCCACTCTGTGGCCATTTACCTTAAGAAGTGCCTAATTTTTGTATTCGACTCTTATGAATATGATGTCAATAACTATTGATTTTTGTACAATTTTTTTCCTACAAATTTCACAAATTTCGTAAAAAGCAAGGATATTTCATGCTATTGACATCCTTTTTTACGAAAGCCTAGGTGTAACTTTTGCAGGTTTTGAACAATTGCCGATCAATGTCAAAATATGGGGTTCCATTTCGGTCCATGGTCGTGACAGGTGGATTTCGACAGAGGACACAACTGGAAAATCTAGAACGAGGCGTTGATGTTCTAATAGCAACCCCTGGTCGTTTCATGTTCGTCATCAAAGAAGGCTTCTTGAAATTACAGAATCTTAAATGGTAACCCTATTTTCATTAAAGATTACTTTCTAAACATCCTATTGCTAAGCCTAAAATGAAGGATTGTTAAATGCTGCACATCTAAATGTGAATTCTGCACTAATGTGTGCTGCAATATTGTTTCTCTTCCTTTATAAATGTTTAGAGGCAGGAATAATTGTTACCATCACTGTCAGTTGTCACTTTCATTGTTTTAATTTTGAAAAGAAATGACCATTATAATTAAGGCTATATCTATTTCATGTTTCTTTTTGGAGTACCAGAAACCTATACTTAAAAATAAAGCATGGGACTCTATGTGTATGAACCTGATTAGCATTCTTGGGTGTAACTTATTGTGTTGTATGTTTTCTGCTGGTGATGATGGCCCTGTTTTACTTTGATTGATTAACAATTCATGAGAATAGAGAGAGTCGGAATTTTCCCCTCTATCACAGTAAGGTGGATGGTCCAGTGAGGGCATGCAAACATGTCTTTTTCTTTTCTTTTCTTTTTTTCAATTAAAAAATATGTGCAGATAATATGTTTCTTGTTATTTATCTTATAAAGCCTTCCATAAGTTGACTGTTGTTCCAAATTAGATGCAATGAGAAAATTGGTAAATATAGCTTGCATGAGAAACACAGATTGCTATAAACTAGTTAAAAGCGTTATGAACATGTGAGTCACGAGCTGATTGGAAGAAGATCCTTTGGGAGTCTGTACATGAATAATTGTAACTGATACCAAATACCTTTGTGGCAAAATGGAAAAATTTTTGTTGCAACACACTGTTTGTCAGCTATTTTAAGTTTAAAATGATAGTTGTAGAGTGGTTGTGGTGATAATGATGGATGTGAGTCAATAGTGGAGGGTAGATATTTTTATTACCTCTGGACACAAAACCGCAAAATGAAAACTTTTTTTGTCCTTTTTTGTTTGAGTAAAGGACATTAAACCAATTTGTTGCTGACTCTACTGAATACTGGGAAATAAATATTTTCAATGCCTCAAGATTTGGAACTTGTAATTTGAATTAAGAATGCCTCTGGTAAGGAATCCTGCGAACGATCAAGAGGCATTTTAAATTTGCAGGGTATTACACTACTTTACCTGTGTTTTTTTAAATTTATTGCTTCAGAAGCAATGCAATAGGTTTTGTTGAGCATGTCATTTCAACCATTGGTCATTTTATGCCATGAATTTGTATTATTTTACTCTATATGTGAACTGCTTGTGAGCTTTTCTTAATTTGAAGTAACTTTGTGTAGAAGAGTTTGTTTTACCTTTCTCAGACATTCATAACTTATGATATTAGTGTTGACTGGAGCAAAGGTGTCTTGCTGAGCTTTGAATATGTTCTTCTTACCTTTTTTTCATATCTACAGTACTTTGCATTGGTTTGGAGGTGGGTTGGGGGGGTGGCAGTGTTGTTAAAAGGAGGGTAAATTCTTTCACATGTAGCATGATTGTGATACACTCCTCTGTGGCTTATCTGACCTGCTGATTTGTTGTCTTGCCGATTTGATAACTTCAATAACTTTTGACCACCTTCTAAGTTGAATGCACTTCCATTGCCAGCATAAGCAACCTGTCAGCGTGGTTGCAATCACCACGGATTTGTGTCTCTATGCATCAGTTTCTACACTACATTGTGCCCATGCTAAAATGCTTCATCTGAACCTCATTGTTGCAGTGCTGTGCTAGATGAGGTAGACATACTGTACAATGATGATGATTTTGAGGTTGCCCTGCAAGGCTTGATCAATTCTTCACCTGTTACCACACAATATCTGTTTGTGACTGCAACTTTACCTGTAGATGTATGTAATAAACTCATTGAAGTCTTTCCTGATTGTGAAGTCATCATGGGACCTGGTGTGCATCGTACAAGTGCAAGGCTTGAAGAGGTTGGTTTTCTCTCCGTCCTTTTCCTTCCCATCCATACTGCCACTCATAACCTGTGAGAGAGCCCTTTTGGTGATGAGCTCTGCAGGTGGCCAGACTGTTGATATGGGCAAAGTTTAGCTAGTATCAAGTGCCATGCAGTGCAGTCATACTTCACATAACCATTAAAATAGCTAATAAATATGAAGACATTTTAGAATCTGGAGTATGATAACAGTTAGCTTACATGGTCATGTGCATTATGTAGATCCTAATAGATTGCAGTGGAGAAGATGGGACAGAAAAAACGCCTGAGACAGCATTTCTCAATAAGAAATCTGCTCTTCTGCAGCTGGTGGAGCAAAGTGCTGTTTCTAAAACAATTATTTTCTGTAATAAGGTAAATTTGAGGTCTGTGTATGGGGAACTTATTTAACTTTTTCTTGTTAAAAGTTGAAACTGGTAAATTATAAATTTGCCTCCTAAAATTGCAGATTGAGACTTGCAGAAAGGTAGAGAATGTATTAAAACGTTTTGATAGAAAAGGGACTCTTGTTCGAGTTCTACCATTCCATGCTGCTCTGGCACAAGAATCACGTCTTGCAAATATGAACGAGTTCATGAATCCTTCTCGGCCTGAAGAAGAGTCTCTGTTTTTGGTTTGCACTGATAGGTATTGTTTTTACTCATTGCATGAATTATCCAGCCTTGAGCTATGCTAAAAATGAGACAGCTCTAAACCTATACCATTGTACCTATGCAAACAGAAGAGAAATTGCGCTATATTAAAGATAATCTCTGGCTATTTCTCATTTGCATCATAATAGTAAGTCATAATATATTACTAATTATATTTCTGAAACTTATGGCAGAGCATCGCGAGGAATTGACTTTGCTGGTGTGGATCATGTGGTACTCTTTGACTTTCCGCGTGATCCAAGTGAATATGTACGCCGTGTTGGAAGGACTGCCAGGGGTGCCAGAGGGAAAGGCAAAGCTTTTATCTTTGCAGTTGGGAAGCAAGTTTATTTGGCACGAAAGATAATGGAGAGAAATGAAAAAGGTCACCCATTGCATGATGTGCCCTTTGCGTATGAGCAGATGGGTTAAAAAGTAGCTTTCTGCACTGCAGAAAGACCTCCTGAGGATGTGCAGTTTTTGCAGTATCCATGAGCATCTGGGAAGGAAGTAAAAGGTATACACATTGAGGATCAATTCCGGTTAGGGAAATTGCTCTGGGATAGGTTACCCTGTTTGAAGTCCTGCCTCACGGGCACTAGGAGGTGATTTCTTTCCCTTCTTTTTTTTTTTCTTTTCTTTTTTTCCTTTTTTTCTGTACTTCACTATTTCTTAGGAGGATGTATTCCTCTCGACACATGATCTTGTCTTTCTATGTAAGTTCTTCATATATTTCGAAATACCACTGCTGACCAATACTGTTAGGTCATTGTGTTCTCTCTATCTCTTTCTCCCCCGTGCTTGTCCATATTTTATCATCTCCTACTGTTTAATCATGAGATGGGGTGTTTCAGTGATAAATAACTAACGAGTATCGGTCTCTCTTAGGTTGGCATGGGGAAATTGGCGAGAGGCAACTGGTATGTGTTATTGCAGTTACCAACTCATCGAGTTAGCTTTGATTTTTTTTTTCTTTTATGTCTTTTTGTCAGAGAAATTATATTTATAAATGGGATAGAATCTAGAGAATTGTAGGCTGTTAGACGGCATTACATCCATATATTTTGTTGTAAATTCCTTCAAGTACTTGAGCAAACAATGTTTTATCGTAAATTTCTATAAGACCGACATCTTTGGTAAGAATGACAAGCTTTCTGACAATCTCTGAAACCCCCACATACGAACGACCAGCCATGGTCAATCGCACACTTGGCCTTATATATTAATGACTTTGTTCATTCATGTTTGTTCAAATCTCCAATTGTTTTAGAAAAGAAATAGATCACACTATAGAAAGCTCAACATCTTCTAAGAATTTATTGTCGAAATGAAAAATTAGGAAAAAATTAAGTAGGGATTGTCACTACTTAACATATTAGACCTCTCGATTAAAAAAAATTAAAAAATAGAAGTCGTCACCTAATACCTTAAGGAGACTCGAAAACTTAAATTATTGATCTTTTAGAAATGATGGTTAGAGTTATAATTTTATGGTATATTAAATTGGTTATGATTTATTGTAGAATTGTATTAAATTATATCACATCTCAAGATAGGAAATCTTTTTAATTTAGCATCGGATTCTATTATAGTTCTATCACGATTGTCATCTCGGGAACTAATTGATAATTTTAAACATATTAAATGACTAAGTTTTATGGTGGAATATTGTTGAATTGACATCTAACCCCGAAATTAGAAATGGTATCAATTTAACATCAAATTTGATTAAAGTTTTGGCATTATTGTCATGCTAAGAACAAAATGATGGAATTTGAATCATCTAAGTTTATTTTGTTTTAATGTTGAATTTAATTAGATTTTATCATCATTTAGATTTAGAGTAATATAATATTTTAGAATATTAACATTAATCTAAATTAAGATTACCCTAAATATTTAAGATGCGAATATAAACTCTAAATAAATGACTAAGAAAATATTAATTAAATTTACTAAAAAAAATTAATTGATTATGTAGAATTAAACAAAGAAACTTTAGATTAACACCTAAACATTCTTAAAAAATTCTAAAATTTAGTACGAAATTAGAATTTGGAAACATGCCTATTTGCAACATATCAAAATTTTATATTTTTTTCATGTCAAAAACTTACCCAATTTACAATTAAATCAAATCAGCCTCTAGTTCTTATTATTCGTCGTATTAAACAAAAAAATTCAGATCAATACTCAAAACATTCATAAAAATTCTAGAAGTTTGTACATAATTAAGAAAAATTCTTATTTACAACATATCAAAATTTTAGATTTTTATCATATAGAAAGGATAGCTTCATCATTATATTTATTAATGACATTCTAATTTATTTTAAGAGACATGAATAGCATGTGGAGCACCTAACAAAGGAATTGCAAACGTTATGCAAGCACAAATTATATGTTAAATTTAAAAAGTATTCATTTTGGCTCAAACATGCAACTTTTCTTGGACATGTTTCCAAAGATGAAATTACAGTAGATCCCAAGCAAGGTCTAAGTATTATAAGAATGGAAACAATCAAAGAATGTATCCAAAGTAAGGAGTTACCTCGGAATGGCGGGATACTACCAAAAGCTTGTAGAAGGATTTTCAAAGATAGTTGCTGTACCTGATTAAATTGATAAGGAAGAATGCTAATTTAAGTGGAATGTCGAATGTGAAAGAAGTTTTTAGGAGCTTAAATTTGGATTGACCACGTACCAAATTTAGGTCTTCTAAAGGATAATGAAGATTTCATAGTCTATAACGATACATCAAAGATCAAACTTGGGAGCTTTCTTCATGTAATATGGAAGAGTGATGGCCTATACTTCATGATAATTGAAAAACTATGAAAAGAATTAACCTACACATGATTTGGAGTTTGTTGCTTGTGATCTTTGCACTAAAGATTTGACGGTATTACCTATATGGTATCAAATATCTTCACCTAAAAGAAATTGAATATGAGGCAAGAAAGATCGTTTTAAGTATTGACTGATCATGTCATTGTTTTTCATTATCATCCCGGTAAAGTAAATGTCATGACGGATGCACTAAGTCGGAAGACTTGGGTAACACTACAAGTTGAAATTGTTGAAGACGGAAAAGATTAATATGGAAGTTATGCCAAGAGGGAGCACCAAAGGATTATTGGTTGCAATGGTTACGTAACTAGATTTGTAACGGAGGATTAAGGAAAAACAACTATAGGATATGGAATTGCTAAAAATTCAGAATGATATAGTAAAAGGAAAAACAACTAAATATGCCACGGACAATGGTGGCATCCGGCGCTATTGTGGTAGGTTTTATGTTACGGCAATAAAAGAATTACGGAAGGATATTCTAAAAGATGTACATCCCACACCTTATTCTATTTATTAGGAAACACCAAGATGTATCAAGAATTGAAGAGAGTCTATAGGTGGAAATGGATGAAGAAGGACATTGCAAAATATATGACATGATGCTTGACATGTCCATAAGTAAAGATTGAATACCAAAGGCCATTGGGATTGTTGAGGCGATTAGACATTCCTAAATGGAAGTGAGAACATTATAATAGATTTCATATTCGGATTACCAAGATTCAAAAAAGTCGACGAAATATAGGTGATTGTAGACAGATTAACCAAATCAACTCATTTTTTAACAATGAAATCCATTTACAACATGCAACAATATGTTGAATTATATATAAGAGAGGTCTTAAGATTACATGGTATTTCGAGTATCGATTATTTTAGATTGGGATCCATAGTTCATATCAAGATTTTGGAAGAGATAAATGATAAAAAAAAAAAAAATCTTAACTATATACAATAGCTTCTCATATTTGAAAAATATTGCATGATAATTTAGTTGTTGATGTGATACTTTAAAATAAAATAATTAATATAAAAATAAGTCAATAACTATTAAAGTATAAAATGTGAATAAATAAACAACCTTCCATCCCTACGGTGACGGACATTATGAAAGAGTAAATCGGATTCTGGAGGATATGCTAAGAGCATGTGTTCTAGATTGGTATGCTAAATGGGAGAAATACCCTTGGTAGAATTTACATATAACAACAATTACTAAGCGGGTGTCAATATGCCATCTTATGAAGCCTTATATAAGCGAGAAAGTTAGGTCAATGGATTGTTAAGACTCGAAATTATCCAACGAAACAACTAAGGTAGTTAAGCGGATTCGAATGAGGATGAAGACTATACAAAGTAGACAAACGAGTTATGCTTGATATGAGAAGGATTGATTTAGAGTTTGAAGTCATGGATAATGTATTCTTAAAAGTGGCTCCAATAAAAGGAGTAATGAGGTTCGAGAGAAAAGAAAAGTTAAGTTCGAGGAACGTTGGATTGTTCAAAATACTAAAGAGAGTTGGAGACGAGCCTACCTGTTAGCTTTACCTCTATCGCTCACGAGCAATGCATAATGTATTTCACGTGTTCATGTTATGAAATTATGCTAAAGACTCGAACCATATTGCAAGAATTGAGTCATTAGACCTCTAATTGGATTTAATTTATAAAGAAGAACCAATCCAAATATTGGATCGAGAGGCGAGGCGATTGAGGAATAAGAAAATTCCATTGGTTAAGGTCATATGGAAAAACCACAAAGTGGAGGAAGCAACATGGGAGATGGAAAGCCGAGATGAAATCAAAGTATCTAGAGTTATTTGAATAAGTAAATTCCAATGATGAAATCTTTGTAAGGAAGAAGGATGTAATATTCATGATCTAAAAGCCCCTAAATATATTTGTATATGTATGAATAATTTGTTTTAGTATGTGAAATTAATATTTATGTTTGACATTGAGTGTTATACAAACATTAATGTTATGCTTTGTGCTTGAGTGAATAAATATTCAATTGTACAAGTTTAAATTATTAAATGCTATAAATGTATAAGTAACATAGGGACTTAATTGTAATAACCTAGGGATTTAATTGAAACAATTAAAAGTTCGGGTATTCAATTAAATCAAGAGGTAAAGTTGAGTTACCATTATAAAACTCGGAAAACCTAAGAATAAAAGGTCAATTGTAATAATTAAAATTTTAGGGACCAAAATGCAAGGACTTAATTGAATTAATTAATAAAGTATAATGACCAAAATGGAAAATTTCGGGAACTTATGGGAGTTAATAATTCAACTAGAATAAGAGTTTGATGCATGAAATTTCAAATAAAATGAATGAAGAGGAGGGCCAAGTAATTTGCCCGAATGAAGAGAGAACAAGGAAATTCAAGAAAAGCTAGAGTTTTCTAGAAAATTAACCAAAATAAGGAAAGAAAATTATCCATTCAAGTGTATGAATATTTGGCAAAATCTTAGGCTATTTCTCACCAATAATTTGGCTAAGGAGGAGAAGAAGGAAGGGAAAGCATGGAAACCAAGCTAAAAACCAAGTAAAACCTAGGTAATTCAACTTC